AAGTGCAAACAACTAAAGAAGGAACCTTACTTTTAAGGGATCAGCAAGAGAAGAAAAGGAAATATATTTTGAGTAGTTCAAGAAAGGCTCAAAAGCAGAATTTTCTTTTCATTTCCAGCGTATTATAACAAAAAAATAATACAAAAAAAAATTAGATAATGTTTTTGTTGAAGTCTAGTCACCTGATTCCACAGTGCAAACATTTTATGTTCACCTACCAAATAATAAACCTCATTATTCATAGAAAAAAAATATTAGTTTCTATACCCACTGCTAACTAATTCCTCCTTCACTCCATTCCCCTGCAGCGTGTGAACTTTTTTAGGAGTCAGTGTGGGATTTTACGATCAATTTCCGTTGCAGAACAAGCCTATAAAAGAGAAACTGTTTGAAGTGGGGGTGGGGATCGGAAACAGGAGATTCGTGTATAAAGCGGCAGTCAGACGAAACCACTAAATATGGAACATTAAAAACCATAAATATTAAAACATAAAAATAGCCATAAAACGAGAACACCGAACAACTGCAGCAAGCACAAAGAACAGAATATTAAAATTACAATGAAAATCCGTTTAGAGGGGAAATTAATTTCAAACAAGCAGCGGGGAAAACAGCTGGAAATCAATATGAACTAAACAAAGCAGCTTCCAAAAACGAAGAATGAAATGCCACCCAACGTCACACACACACACACGCAAACACAATTAGTCGGAAAATTGGGGAAGGGGCGAAAAGGTGTTGGCGGGGGTAAAATCAATTTTCAGTGCTTTATCGAAAATGCATTTCCATTTACAAGGAGTTTTTCACTCCCCTGTCCGCGGCAGAGTATTAAAAAATCAATGAATAAATAAACAAAAACCAGCAACTATCTCCCTTCTTTTTTTTGTCGGGCAGAATCTTTTGTCTCTCGGCATATAGTGAAAAGTGGTGGGGGGATCCTCAGCCTCCGGAGTTGATTTATATTTGTTTCGAACCGCATTGTGTGAACGGCGACAGCTATAAAAGCTTTGGCGGGACACGTCTCGCCGTCCGTATTTTTGTCCGTACTCTTGTCCGTATCTCTCGTTGAACTCTAGACCTTTTGTCCGCTTCCATTTGGAAATCCGGAACTTATCTTTTTACAAAAAATATGCCTGTTCTTTAACTTGTCCTTTAAACAATTTATCTGCTGAAATGCACTCAATTTCAGCCTACCTTAAAGTTATAAAATAAAATTGGTTTTAAATTACTGTGTACTATTTATCCACATTTAGAGATTATTTAGAGTAATATTGGTCCTTTCCCTGCAACCGACTTTCCCTTGAAAACTTTCATAACCCAAGCGACAACTATTTGATTGCTTAATTAGCAAACATTTTTGGGGTCGCAATAAATGAGGACAATTGAAAATGTCAACAGTTGTCCCTTTCGGATTGTGCATAATTACAAACGCAGCAACAAATGTTAATGCTCGGGGTCATTTGAGTGGGTTTTCCAATAAACAGGAACAGATCGTGCATTTATGAGGGCAGTAGGAACCAGTCTCCCTATGTCTGTACATCATGTTTGCCACTCCATGAATGTGTTAATTAGTCGCAGCCCGCAAAAACTGCATCCATCGCACCCTGGCAAATGTCAAAAATCGAAATTATGAAATGACATTTTCCCTTCGCTCCAATGTTAATTAAGTTTGGGATTGTATACAGATGTATTTAATGTTTTCCATCGGATGAGTGGGGATGAGAACTGCAAGGGAAATTCTATATTTATTTCCAAATTTTTTCCTTAATAAATATTTAATTGATTCGGAGTTTTGACACATGATACATGATATTGGTTAAAGGCTTTGATTGATGGTTTGTTATGAAGGCTAGGGGGAAATTGTATTCTTAGTGGGAAAAAAATCAAAGTCAAAATTTTTGTTAAATTAAAACAAAATATTTCACCTTGTTTGAAGATTCTCAGAAAAAGTTAAGTAAATGCGTTTGTTTTTGAGTTGTAAAAATCAAAATCAGTAAAATGGATCTTTAGACAGATAACAAAAAATCATCTTTCCCAATTTGTTTTTTTTTCTATTTTTTTATTTCTGAGTTATAGAATTTTTAAAATATGGAGCAAGCCCCGAATATGATTAATCATATAAACAAACGGTTGCTGCTATTTTCAGCTTAAACTTTTCTCCCCCCTCACAAAAAAACCTCAAAAACTTCAAAAGGCCAAACAAACAAATAATTAATAACAAAAGTTAAGAAGGCAAAAATCAAAAAAGAACTTTGGCAGTCACGCCCATTTAAGTATAAACAATTTCGAAATTCTAGCCACCCACCACCCTCTTTTGCAAAGAGCACTTGTCGTTGAAAACATTTGTAAAAATTCCCATGGGATTGGAAAATTGAAGTAGCAGCGACTATATCCAAGATAAATAGAGGGAGATGGATGTAGATATAGAAGGAGAGTGGTCAGCAGGGGGCATCCCTCATCTTCGTACTCATACATGCATAAACAAATAAAAACCCATTAAGCAAAGCCAACAACAACTACCGCATTGATGTGTGCAGTGATTATCCGAAGAAAGAGAGGGGCATAGAGCACTAGAAAGAGATGGGAAGTGCAAGAAAGTAGCGGCAAGCAATTAACAACTACAGCTTCAAACAAAAGGAGTGAGGGAGAGAGGTACCAAGCTACTGCTGAGACACTGAGAAAAAATAAAGAATTTTTATCAAAATATAGAAATACATTTTATTTGTAAATTATCGAAAAGTTATTCCTTTTATCTGGTTAAAGATCTTATATGTATGTAAATACATATTGTTACAAAATTTTGACATTACTTTCTAAATATATTAAAGATAAATAGTATCAAAACCAAATTACTAGTGGTGACACAGAATTTCTTCCAACCAAATTTGGTTGAAATTTATATGTAAAACATATGTAAATTCTAACCGAATTTCTTTAAAAGATATTTCTGTCTCACCAAGTAAGCAATTTGTTGTTTCTACAAATACAAATAATTTTTCAGTGCATCCATGTGTGCGGGAATCCAAAATCAACAATATCATCCGCAGAGATAAGAGCAGCAGAGGAAAGAGATGACAACAGTGTGCGAGCGAGAGGTAAAATGTAGGGGAGAAGTGCACTAGATAAGCAAAAACTCAGTTGGAACCCAACAAAACGAAAAAGAAAGTCCAGCTGTGTTTACTATATGAAACAGAAGCCGCTCATCCAAAAATAGTAACCTCATCTTTCCCTTAATGCAAAGTGCAGAGATAGTATTTCTCGTGAAATATTTTCATATTTACTTGCACAACACAAGAAGTGTTCAGTATATAAATAATATGAAGTCCGACTTATTATTACTCTCTTTAAATAATCTTGGCCTAAATATCAATTTAATGTAGATCAAAGCACAGTAGTTTTCCTGTTCAATCTATAGATTATATTTTGAATTTTTAAGAGTAGTTAAACAATAAAAATTCTTCAAGAATTCCAATTGAACCTTTTCAGAATTATTATTTGCTACAATGTCTGAAAACAATTTAATTAAAAATAAATTAATACACTTCAAAGTAATCTAAAATAACAAAAAGTTGCGGGTGGTTTAGCAAGCAAAAATCCAGAAGAAACTGAGGGTCTGTGTCAAGGCGATATGCAAAAATAATCCCCATCAAAGAATTGAAATGAACAACAGGAATGGGCAAAAAATGCTCATATGTGGGCAGATATGCTCTTGTCAACTTGACGGATCAGGGATGAAGTCCAAAAGAAGAGTGGGTCTAGGTTTCGAGTGCTTGGGGCTACCCCAACCGCTTTTCCGCAGCGCCCTTTGCGGAATCCGTTACTAATCACACGACTTACATTTGTCGCCCGCTTCCGACGCCCCCGCATCCCTCGCCCCTTTTCCAATCCCCGGTTCAGGGTTGATGCATTCGCAGAATCTCAGCCTGTCACATGCTCGTAAAATCAACAAAATGCAGGCGACTGTTGTGACACTTGCCATGACAACAGGCCCGAACAGCAGCAACAACACTCCGAGTTGCAGTTAGCAAAATGTTTAATGAGTGACAGAGAGATAGGGAAACACTGTGAAAAAAACTCTGCAATAGGATAAACAAATGTCCACATTCTAAAGTTACTAAACATTCTAAACTTACTACGTAAGTTTTAGTAATAAAACAATTCTAGATTAAAAAAAAATATTAAAAACTTGTAAAGCCTTGTTATTATTATGTAATTTTTTGTATTCCAAAAAAACATTTTATAATATTCCCAAACAATATTAACATTTTATATGGATGTAACAGAAATACAGCTTATATTTATAAAATTGAATGAAAAATATTTTAATAATATCTGACATAAATACGTAATGGGTAGTTATTTTATTAATCTTATTTATATCATTTGTGCATTAAGACTCTTAATTTAAGATAAAAGGACAAAGCATAGAAATTTGCATCTGCGGTAGGTTTTGGCTTAAGAACTGACTGTGGAGAACGGTGGATGTTGGGGGTTTGATCCACCCCTAGAGGCAGAGAAGTGTGGGGCAGTTGGAAAGGGGGGTTGGCCCACCCACTCGAAAATGCGTCGCTAGCTTTTTGCATTCTATGTCAGCTGTCAAAGTCCAAAAACTGAAGTTGCCTTTGTGTTTTTTTCTACATGTATATGTATGCATGGACATGGCCGGAGGGGTGATGGCCAAAAGGGGGTGGGAGGTGACTGGATGATGCTGCCGTCGGGCAAAGTGTCCATTATGTTGATTTGAAAAATAAAAGCAACGGATGCGATAGCTCACACAAAGATGAAGGGCGGACTGACAAAGCGAAGGGGGGATGGTTTACTGGGCGGACTTTTCCGGGGGAGGGGACGTTTAGCAGTGGCTGGTACTTCAAATTTAGTTGATTGAATGACAGTTATGTGCTTTGCGATGCGTTTTGTTTAGCCGAGATTTGTCAAGAAAATGCGAAAACAAACTTTATAATTATGAAAACACTTTACCAATTCTTAACCTAAACAGTATGATGAATTTCAAAATGTATCTGCCTTCATGTACATTGTACACACATATGTGTGCCTTACTACTCAAAAATATATTACACCACACTCAAAAAAAAAAAAAAAAAAAATTTCACTCCACAAGAAACGAAACCTTCCTGTACCACCTATACAACCGCATCGAAATTCAAAGTTGCCGGATGAACCTCGGCAAATGATTATCATGAAGAAGATAACCAGTAAGGGAGGAGTTCAGAAAAGTCGCAATCTTAAGTTCGACGACGGTATGAATCTGGACCAGATCATTGCGAAACTGAAGCTGGTGGGGGATTTAGGATCCGTGATCCAGGTGTCTGCCCGGGATATCGAAACAGTGTGTATTAGCGCGCGGGAAGTGCTGCTCAGCCAGCCGAGTTTGCTGGAGTTGCGTGCACCGATCAATTTACTGGGTGATATACATGGACAGTACCATAATCTGCTGCGGTACTTTGAGGCCAATGGGTATCCGCCGGATTCGGAGTATCTGCTGCTGGGCGATTATGTGGACAGGGGCAAGCAGTCCATCGAAACATTGACCCTACTTCTGGCCCTCAAGGCGAGGTATCCATCGAAATTCTTCTTACTCCGTGGCAACCACGAGTGTTCCAGCTTGAATCACTTCTATGGATTCTACGACGAGTGCAAGAGGCGCTACACGGTTAAACTGTGGCGCACTTTCGTCGATTGCTACAATTGCATGCCCCTGGCGGCGATCATCGAGGACAATATCTTCTGCTGTCACGGCGGCCTGAGTCCGCATCTGTTTAGCATGCAGCAAATACGGAAGATACAGCGACCCATCGAGATCCCCGAGGCCGGATTGGTGTGCGATATCCTCTGGTCCGATCCAGACCTAAGGATAATGGGCTGGGGACCCAACGAACGCGGTGTGAGCCACACCTTCGGCTCCGATGTGGTCAGTGCCTTCCTCCACCGCTTCGGGTTCAACCTCATTTGCAGGGGTCACCAGGTCGTCGAGGATGGGTACGAGTTCTTTGCCAAGCGCCAGTTGGTCACCATTTTCTCCGCACCCAACTATTGCGGGGAATTCGATAATGCCGGGGCAATGTTGTGCATCGACGAGAATCTTCTCTGCACTTTTCGTGTTCAGAGGCCAAGGGTCACGGTGTTTTCAAAGTGAGCGGATGGTATTTACTTAGGAGGAAAGGCTTGTTATGTTTCCTCAATTTTAAAGTTGAGTTTTGTGAGAATGTATTGTAAAATTTATTAAATTTATTATACACTTCAAATGATATTTTAATATTTTTATTCAGATAATCGCACTGTCAAGTTCATTACTTAAAAATTACGATTTTAAAAAATGTTTTATCGTCTAGCTATTTTAAATATAAACAAGAAAACTTTATATTAAGCTGCAAAATAACATTTCACATTAACCACAAAGTACCGCATATTACCATTTTATAATTAACTGCTACAATTACAATACAATTAATCGAAAAATCCATTAAAAAGTATCCCATCTCATCAACAATTGTAGTCTAGAAAAAAACCACACTGATTTCTTCTTTTTGTGTAGTCATGTAAAAAGTAATATATATTAATTTGATAAATGATAATCATTAATTTCCATCTAGTAAAGTCATAAAGCCAATTAAATTATAGCAAAGTTGGCAAAGAATGTTGACAATTCCCCAGTCCCCTCACCTCCCTTTTCCCAGCGCCCAACTCAAATGTTAATGACTGTCCTCAACAAAAGTGAAAAGCAGCTAAAATAATTACTAAAATGCATTACAACACGCACATGCACGCAGAGGGAAATGCAAATTGGTGGGGAAAATAATAAAAAAAAAAGGAGAGAAATTAAATGACACTGCAATTTGCAAAGGGAATAAATTAATGGCAATCCATTTCCAAAAATTGGAATGATGCAAAGTGGCCATTAATGCAAATTTATAGAGTAATGAAAGGGAGAATGGGTCGAGACTTATGTGACACAAATATACAGGTTCGATCACCTTGAACTATATAAAGATAGTAATCAAGTTAATTCACTTAGAGTTATGTCTTTACTGGCAATTAAATTTTCGTAGCTTAAATTTCCCTTCCTGCTCAACTCAAATTGAATTTGCCAAGGACCAAAGTTTCACCAAATGTTGTATTTGCAACAAACATGACAACAAGGAGATTCACTTGCATATATCCATACGATGTTGTTGACTAATGACAACACAAGCATATCAGTGTCGCAACAGTCAAGGAAAACAAAAACAACCCAGCAAATACGCATATGTGTGGGGTTGAAAGGGGGTCCTTTTGGCAGCATTAACCCCACAATGGATGCAGCATGTCCGAGAAAAAGTGGAGATGCAGAGATATGAAAGGGAAGACAGGGACAGGCGTAAGCTGAAATATCCACAAAACTAATCTGAGCGAAAGAGCCAGGGCCAGACGAAAAGAGCGAGATGCAAGCAAGCTGCAAGGATTTACATATTAAGCCATTTTTAATTTACGACTTGCCAAAAAGCTGCCAGTCGAAGGAGTCGGAGCAGGACGAAAGACTTTCCCTTTTCCCCCGAAACTCACCCATATTCGCCCCGCCAACTGACTAAACAGCAGATAACAAAGAAGGGAGACTGCCAGGGAACACAGATGGATGATAAAGCAGCCAAAGGGATAACGACAGCCATGAGCGGAGCTTGTATCCTTACGCAAAAGCCACATAACGGCAATGGAAGCCACCCACCCACTCCCCCTTTTCACCACCCCCACAGCCTTGGACCCAAAGGTTTTCCTCTGGAAGAAGCAGCGAGTGAGCCACAATGACAGTAATAAAATAAAAGTAAATCCATGCTTCGCCTTTTTTCTCAGCTCCTTTCTCCTTTCTCCGCCAGCTGGCATCTGTCAAAGTTTGACATTGACGTACAAGTCTCGGAAGTAGAGAATCGAGAACTGAGAACTGAGAAATGAGACGCAGCTTGTTTAGAGATTTAGAGATGTTTTCCATGTCGGGAGTAGCCCATCGGAAAACTGGAAAAAAATGGGATGGGGAAAAAGGGAAAGTTAAGCCGAATATATGGCACTTTTTTAAAAGGTTTTAAAGGTGTTTCATGACGGATCTCATCTGTCAATAAAATGTCTATAAACAAATAAACTATGCTGTAACACAAAATTAAAGTAAGGCCTACAAAAACACCTTTTTATAAATATATAATTAAAAATTCTATAAAGAACACATATTTTGAAAACCATCTGACAATGAACTATAGGACTTCGTGTAAAAGAAAGCAGGATTTTAAGACATAACCACCCCCTGTATTATAGACTTATAATCTTCATTTCCTCAGGGTCTCTTTTGGAAGGAAAAATAAACCCAACAGGAAATGGCAATAATAAACGTTATAAGGGATATTTCCCTATGGGCTGTTCCATTTTTATAGAGCTCTCAGACAATCGCAGGGCACATCTTCAAGTCTTTTCCTTGCTTTTCAGCAACTTTTCCAGTTTACTGGTGTGACAACAGGTGCAGATGAAAGCCAATGTAAGGGGGAAAAGGGCAATGCATGGACCATAGAAGAGCCATCAATCACGTGGGTCTTCGAAAGCCAAAACCAACTCAACCATATGCCAAGAGGTAGTTACAGTAGACCCTCGAAAACTCATCCCTTCCGACCGCAAGTTTTCCCATTCCCCCATACCCCTTAATTCCCCCTTTTTTGTGGGGGGCGTCAAATGTGACGCTTGCAGAAAAAAAGGAAAGAAACTCCAGCCTCCTTCCTCGAAAATCCCCAAATAAAACCTTCTATAACAAGCGGAAGGAAATGTTGGGCTGCCTGATGCTGATGATGATGATGACAATGTTCCTGGCTTCGGTTCTTTAAAGTTTTCGGGGGATCCCAAAAAGAGGAAAACCAGTGAAAAGTCAATGTCTGTTGCGGTTTTGTCACTCAAAACACACAAAAACCGCTTTGTTTGCCGGGCGAAAGTGAAGTCTGTGGCAAAAGAAAAGGAAATCCCTCCCTATCCTGAATCACCTTCCTCTATTGTATCTCTGGGTGTGAAAAGATTTTCACTTGATTTGGCTTTGCTCAACGAACGATTTTTTTTTTTTTTTCTGTTGTTCGGTTGATTATAAACTTTTCTTACTTGAATCATTCTACTGGCTTGTTATCCCTTCGCAAGTTCACTCACCTGCAAAAAAGAAACAGAGATAAGGTTAGAAAGGCCGAGCAAAGAGTTATGTTTGCTAATTAAAAGATTACAAAGATCAAACCCTTTTCAAAGTTGCAAACTAGCCTGGCATTTAATTAACATAGAAAAAATCAACCGCAATCGACCCCGAAAAAGGGCGAAAACCGCCAACAAAATGAAAACACAAGTAACAACTCTATTAAAAATATGCCCAGTCGAATGATTTATAACATTTCTGGTTCAGTGAGACGGCACAAAATAAAACGTGGAAAATATAATGGTAGGACATGGCATTAGCTTGGTCACCTTCCTGTTCCTTTTTTAGGGTACAAATTTAAAATATATAAAAAAACATTTTTTGACAGGATAAGCGGGTGCCTTTGGCATACCGTGAAAAATGATGACTTTGGCAATTGGTTTTTGGGGGAAACGGACTGAATATTACAGGAAGACTGCTGCCAGATAATGATGAGCTGTCTAATATTGATAGAACATCTGAGGGGTTAATCAGAAAATAGTCAAAATTAGTTGTTTCAATTAATGTTATGGCTTTGAGGGATGGCTTAAAATAAGGCTTATATAAAATGTATTCTTCAAATATAAATTTAAATTAATAGTCTTCAGAAATAGGCCTAAGAAAAATAATTCAAAGTTCTCTGAACCAATAAGTTTACCACTTCAAAATAACTATCAATTAATTTTCCCGAAAACCTTAATTCAGTTATCAAAATAAAGAAAATTAAATTCAAGCCACTTTCACCGATGGCTTAAGAACAGCTGCCAGCTAACCACACCAAAAAAAGCATGATTAATCAGCAAAAAAAATGAGGAAAACCACAACAAAAAATGTAACGAGAGAAAGAACAAACAAAGTTGCAGTTATGGCTCAATAAGCCAACAAAGGCGAACCTCAGGCCTTGGCCTCCAGTCGATGATAAAGCATTTTCCCTCAATGCTTCCTTTACTTTCAACGAAAAGCCGCAGACAACAACAATGAAGTTGCATGATGAGCCAAGGAGAAAAATTACTAACCACAATGAAAATTGAAAAACATTTATTAGAAGAGCACACAGTGCACGAACAGAAATGTACTTAATTATTAAGAGGATTTTTACATAAGAAAACTTTGATTTTCGGATTAAGAAAATAGTTCTTTGTTGGAAAATGATTTGGTAATATTGATGGCTACGGCTTAAAAGCATTTATTAGAGCAGCACACAGTACACAAAAAGAAATGTAATTAATAATTAAAAGGATTTTTATTTAAGAAAACTTTGAATAGTTAAAAATGGTTTGTTAACAATGTTGTTGATGGTTTTTAAAGAGCCTGTATACAAATTTAAAACGAAATAATTCTATAAGATCATGACCATTCTAAGTATAATTGGTCAAATATTTTGACCTTAGCTTTTAAGAATTAACAATTTTAAATACCTTTTCTGATGTGAATATAATTTTAATAATTTAGAAAATAGAAAATATATTGTTAAATTATATTTTCAGTGTAGGCATGAGGTGCACTGGCACATGGTAATGAAAATGAGTAGTCTGGGCCACAAGTCTGTGGGTTAAGGCAGGCGAGGGTTAAGGGCTACTGTGTCGAGGGCCTTATTCATGGGGGTTAATAATCGAACGCGATTGCCAGGACAAGATAAACTCCCCGGGACAATTGTAAGCCTTATCATGACTCGCCAGAAAACATTCCCCTTCGCGCTCCCTCTTTTCCAACTTGCTCATGCGAATGCGGGCGCATCATCATGCAACTCTCCCCACCTCTTCTTTTCATCTGACTAATTTTTTTTTGCGCAAAATGATTGAAATAATCTATTGATTTAAAAAATATTCACAAAAACCCATCCATTTCGGTTTTTTCGTTCGAGCGAGGGCGTCAAATTAATAAATTATAGCAAGACAATCAATCATTGAATGCGCTTTTGTGTGGCTCGAATAAAGGGAAGATCACCCACGATGTGTTTGGCTTATAAAAGGCACAAGATTTATGTGCGAAAATATTGAAAAGATACAGGTTGAAAGAAGATAAAGATGGAAGACAGTTTATAATGATAATGGATTTCTATAGATGGAATTTAAGGAGGGG